CCATCCTACTCATCTTTACAAGATGGCAAAAATAAATCCTAATATAACTGAAATTACAATAAATGGTGATAAGTTAAATCCCTCAATGAGAAGGTAGAAACTCAGGTTGGATCTCAGATTGAATTTAAAAATTAAGGTCTAATAATATATTATCTAGACACGCTTAAAATGAAAGACTACAGAGAAATTGAAAGACATATAAGTAGGTATTCCAGGCTAATATGAACAGAAACACCAAAAACCAAACAAAATGAAAAACAGAAACAAAATAGCTATTTTATATAAGATGAATTGAAATTACAAATTCAAGAGAAAGTAGATATATGGGTACAAATGTAGATAGTTAGGGAGATGTGGTAGGAGAAGTATGTGGACTTAATAATGATTGCTTCCATTTCCTCAGTGAGGTAAGGAGCTTGGTCATCAGCCAAGAAGATGAAAGAGAAGGCCTCTGGAATATGAGGAGGTAGGAGAAAACTTGTCCAGGAAAGTCAGAGTAAATGGATTAAGGAAATATAGTATGTTTGCCAGGCAGTATTATGGGGCCAGATGAGGTTAATGATTATTTAATGTAAGACTAGTCAGCAAATTTGAACGTTTTTCTGAAACTACATTCAGCTGCTAGGATGCAGGTATCAAGCAGGCTGAGAAAATTTTATTTAAGCTGGACTGTGGTCAACCAAGGAGTACTTTGGAGCAAGAGAGGAACAAGTGAGTTTGAGTTGAGAGCATATGCAAAGAACTGATTATAATTATCTATCATGGAATTTAAAGTAGATTACAAAGGAATCAAGGACACAAAAGAGTGAGGGATGCTGTGAAGGTGGTGGAATCGATGAAGCAAAAGGTCTCTCTGGAGATTAGAGGATTGTTGGAGCTCAGGTACTAGTGGGAGTGAGCTATAAAAAGGTGATGTTTAGAGAATCAGTTACTTGAAACTGAAATTATGGAATGGTTGCAGGGTATTTTTGTTTTGTTTTGTTTTTGCAATGACAAGGCCAAGGGTATGACTAAACAGCTAGAGGATTAAGTCACCAAAGGAGAACAGATCAAAACATTGCAAGGTCAGGCATTGTAAAGAGTTCAGTGAATATTGAAATTGCTAGGGGTTATGGCAGAAGTATTGGATAGAGTGACAGTAAACAAAGAGGAGGTAAAGGACTGCAACAGAGAAGGCAATGAATGGTATATGGCATAATAACAGGAGATTTAAAGTTGAGTATTATTAGAGAGTTGAGAAGAATGATGTAGAAGTAGCATTGAGGAGTAAGACCCCCACCTCATTTCCAGGCCAACTGATGAGGGGGTTATGGGAGTTAAAACAGACATCATTTTAGAGGGCTGCAGGGAGAGCCAGGGGTCAGCTACTATTTTGTATATTTAGAAGTTATGTCATAATAAGCACCTGTATTAATATAGATGCATTATATTTTCTGTATATTCCATGTTCTTTATCTATAGTCTCCCTTTGCTTCTAATGATGCTTTTTCCCTTGAATTCTATTTTTGACCTGATGTTAGACATCTGCTTGGCTTTCTTTTGGTTGTTACCATTTCCCATCCTTTTGGTTTAACTCGTCCAGCCTTTCTTTTAAATGTTTCTAGGGGTCCCTTGGGTAGGTCATTCGGTTAAGCATCTGACTCTTGATTTTGGCTCAGGTCATAATCTTGCAGTTCATGAATTCAAGCCCCATACTGGGGCTCTGCACTGACAGTTCAGACCCTGCTTAGGATTCTCTCCCTGTCTCTCTCTCTCTCTCTCTCTGGCCTTCTGCACTCTCTCTCAAAATAAACAAATAAATTTTTTTTGAAAGTGTCTCACAGGGTGCCTGGGTGGCTCAGCTGGTTGGGCGTCTGACTTTGGCTCAGGTTATGATCTCACAGCTCGTGGCCCGCGATGGGCCCTGTGCTGACAGCTCAGAGCATGGAGCCTGCTTCAGATTGTCTCCCTCTCTCTCTGACCCTCTCCTGCTCACGCTTCTCTCTCTGTCTCTCAGAAATAAATAAAAAACATTAAAAAAATTTTTTTTAAAGTGTCTCATGTAGACATTATATTGCTAGATTTTTTCTTTTCCTTTTTAATGTTTATTTTATTTTGAGATAGTGTGCATGTGGAAGGGGAAGGGCAGAGAGAGAGGAGAGAGAGAATCCCAAGCAGACTCCCACTGTCAGTGCAGAGCCCTATGTGGGGCTTGATCTAATGACTGAGATCATGACCTGAGCTGAAATCAAGAGTTGTCCCTTTACTGACTGAGCCACCCAGATGTTCCTAGATTTTTTTTCCCTTTTTTAAAGTTAGGCTCCATGCCCAATGTGGGACTTGAACTCATGACTCTGGGATCAAGAGTTGCATGCTCTACCAACTGAGCCAAACAGGCACTCCACTTGATTTTTAAAAATTCAATATGGGATTTTATCTTTTCTATGGTGAGTTTAATATATTAAATTATTTGTATGTTAGAGCTTGTATTCCATTTTAGTTTTTAGTGGGTTTTTTTTGCTTCTTGCTCATTTCCTTGGATAAATCAATTTTATCTATGGGTTTGAAAAGCATGCATTTTATTTAAAAAATTTTTAATGTTTATTTATTTATTTTGAGAGAGACAGAGACGGTGTGAGTGGGAGAGGAGTAGATAGAGAGAGGGAGGGAGAGAGAGAGAGAGAGAGAGAGGGAGGGAGAAAATCCCAAGCAGGCTCTGCACAGTGCAACATGGGGCTCAAACCCATGAAACAGTGAGATCATGACCTGAGCCAAAACCAAGAGCTGGATGCTTAACTGACTGAGCAACCCAGGCACCCCAGAAAAGCATGAATTTTATATCTGTTCTTCATTAGTTATCCCTAACATATTAAGGCATTTACTAGTATTTTTCCCCTAATTTATTAAACTTATCAACATCTATCTGTATCTTCCCCTTTAGGAGGACAAATACTTTAACACATGCATTCTTACCTATCTCTTGATGTTACACTGTGTTCCCTGCTTTGTTTTACCTGGTGTGTGTGTGTGTATAAAATGCTTTTTTAGACAACAGACTTTACAAGGATATTTTCTCATTCTTACTATCTTAAATTTTACCACATTTCCTAAAATCTTTTTATTTAGATTATTTCCTACAGGAATATTTTCAGAGAATCTTTATGATAATCTGCTGAGACCTCGAAGGTCTGAGAATATTGTATACTCACATTTAATTGATAACTTATAGCTGAATATAAAATTTTAGAGTCAAAGTTTCTGTTTTTAATATTTTGAGAATATTTCATTGTTTACCTGCCCCTAATGTTGCTCTTGAGCAGTCTGACATTATTCCGATTTGTTTTCTCTATGGGTAAGCTGATCTTCTTAGAAAGGTTTTAAAACTTTCTCTTTGCCTATGAAATTCTTAAATTTCATTAAAATATCAATAAATGCCATTTTCCCATATTGACTCTATTTACCATCCCTTATACCCTTTCAATAGCAATCTTTCTTTGGAAGTTCTCACTTTTTTTTCATGAATCATCTTCCCTTCATTTACTTTTTTTCTCTCTAGTTAGCACTCCTGTTATATAAATGCTGTCATTTCTATGTCTAGCCTCATTATTTCTTCATTTTTTTTATCTTTCATCTCTAATTCCTTCTCAGTGTCTTCTCAAAAAGTTTCTTGACCTGATCTTGGGATGTTTCCATTTTGCTTTATGTCATCCAATAAGTTTATTTCTACTGTGTTTGAATATTCAGTAATCCTACTTGTTTTTTATTTAAAAAATTTTTTTAAGTTTGTTTATTTATTTTGAGAGAGAGTGTGTGTGTGAGCTGGGGAGAGGGAGAAAGAGAGAGAGAGTCTCAAGAAGTCTCTGCACTCAGCACAGAGCCAGATCCCACAAACCATGAAGTCATGACCTGAGCAGAAATCAAGTTGGACACTTACCTGACTGAGCCACCCAGCCGCCCCTATACTTGTTTCTTTATAACTGTTTCTGCTTCGTTATCAGTATCCTCTTTTAGGGACATTTATTTGGCATGTATCCTATTTATTCTTGTCATCTAGACTAGGCTATTTAGTTTATTGCCTTTCTAATTTTCTAGTTATTTTTCCCTGTGAGGTCATTTTCCTCATGGGTATCAATTATCAGTTATCTTGTTAGGTAATGGATGGAGAAAGGGGTAGAAAGAATCAAAACCTAGACCTTAGCTTGTACCACCTCTGGTGAGCAGGGCTCCAGCTTTAATATCCTCATGTGTGTCATTCTCACCAGAAGGTTTTGCCCTTTTACACACCTCTCTATATCTTACCCTAGGCTTTGTTATTTTCTAAGAATGTATTATCTAGTCCTGTGGGTGGAAAGAAGGCCTATGGGTTTGTGGGGGGAGGGTACAAGGAAACCTGTTGATGCTTGTTGGTTAAGCCAGCATTTCCTTTGGTGTTTTGTTCTGTTCTGTTTTGTTTTGTTTTAACTCTACATACCAATAGTATTTCCGTATGCATCTGCTAGGGAAGGCAGTGATGAAAGTATGGGTAGTTGTGGGGGTTAGAATAGTGCCCAACTCAAAATTTCTCCACAAATCCACTCCCCATGTTGGAAGCCTGGCTTTCTTCTGTCCCAGGCTACTGTTTCACTTCTTTACCAGATTATAATCACCTTCTGACCTTCCAGAGGTTTCTGTTGGTTTTCTTTTTTTCCTCCTCTTCCTCCACCTCATCCTCCTCCTTCTTTTTTATATCTACTCATTTCTTATTTCTGAGGCATCTTTGGGTTTAGGTTCTGGGAAGTATACTGTGCCACTTTGCAATCATGTGAGGGGCCATATTATGTCCCTTTTATGACAGCCTATCACAGAGTTTATTGAAGCTTTGTGCTTCTAGTAATCTAGAGCAGAGGATATTCTTTCTTGAGTGGTAATGTTAATAGTCTGGAAATGATGTTTAACTATAGGCAGAATGTAAAAGCACAGAATAGGAAAGCAATGTATGTACATGAAAGAAAGAAAATAGGAATTCTACTGCAACATTGAAATTCACTTTCAACATGCTTGTATTTAATTTTACAGTCACTTGGGAATCTTCTTAAACCTGCAAACAAGATAAGAAAATTTATCATATTACAAATTGCTGTTAAATACATTGTTCTTAATACAAATTGCTCATTAAATACACCCTGTTCATTAAATAGAATATAGATGATTCATAGGGAAAATAAGAGTGCCTCCAGAACTCACAAAACTAAACTATAAAATTGATATGTAATCTCTATTTATAGAAGTCACCTTAACAAGGCAGAATATCTCCCAGGAAGAGCAGAGCTTGGCAATAGCTTATTACTTATTAGACAGTCTTCTTACACCTAAAGTTAGAACTTAAATATTGACAATGGTTATTTCTGGCCATGGATCTTGGTCTTTTCCAAATTTTCTATGATAGTCACACTTTACTTTTGTAATTGGAAGAAAACTAGTATTATTTTAATGGCATTTTTATGAGGAAATCATCAGATAACTGTACAAACTTATGCGAGGATATTTGCTGCAGCATTTTTTGTAACGTTGAAAAATATCCAAACTTCCATCAATAGGCAAACGGTTCAATAAATTGTGATGGAACTATACAATGAACATCATGCAATCAATAAAACTGGTGATGTAAGTCTATATTGACATAGAAAAATTTTAAAGATGTACTGTTAAGTGAAACACTAAACAAGGTAAAAAAAAAAAAACATGTTCAATATGAGCTCATTTTTGCAACCAAAAAGTAAATGCATAGAAAATTTTTGAAGAATATATGCAAGAAGTTGCTACTCCTTCCTAACAACCTATATTCAGAGAAGTGAGGTCACAGGGCAAACCGTTGCACTCTAAGTTGGAGAGTCAGGCAATACAGAGAATCACAGCTTACTGGAGCAGAAACCCATGAGAAAACATGCCTGGTAAAAAAAAAAAAAAGCAACTTAAACTTTAACTGATGAATTGCTGGAGGCTTAGTACAGACAAGTCTGAGATTAAAAACTCCAGGAAGGCTCAGTCAAAGGGACCCTAGCCTTCTATGTGAGAGAAAAGAAATACCCAATTCCAGTTCCCTCTAGCCATCCTGTGCCACCAAAGGTGAGAGTGGAGGATATTAAGAAGCACTGGTAAAGTTCACGGACAAGAGGCACAGTCTCTTCAAAAGACTAAGACCTAATCACAGGACTATGTAATGTTTCCCATTCTCCTATACCTTATACCACGTCATTAAAGGCTTATTTGCCAGCATTTCTTTCACCTAGTACATCATGTCTGGATTTTAGCAAAAATTATAATGCACACTAAAAGGCAAAAAACACAGAAGAGACTGAACAAGCATCAAAATCAGAGTTAGATATGGTGGGGGTGTTAGAATTATACTGAGAATTTAAAACGATGATAATTAATATGCTAAGGACTTTGATGGAAAAATATGCAGGAATAGATAGATACTAAAGCAAAGACATAGGTATTGTAAGAAAGAATTTTTAAAAATTCTGGAGATCAAAAACACTAACAGAAATGAAGAGTGTCTTTGATGGCCTCATTAGTAGACTAGATATGGCTGAGAAAAGAATCTGTGAGCTTCAGGATATGGCAATACAAACTTAATAAACTGGGCGCCTGGGTGGCTCAGTCGGTTGAATGTCCAACTTCGGCTCAGGCCATGATCTCATGGCTTGTGAGTTTGAGCCCCATATCAGCCTCTGTGCTGACAGCTCAGAGCATAGAGCCTGCTTCAGATTCTGTGTCTCCTTCCCTCTGTCTCACTGCCCCTCCCTCACTCTGTCTGTCTCTCTCTCTCAAAAAAAATAAAATAAAATAAAAACATTAAAAAAAAGAAACTTCCAAAACTGAAAAAAAAAAAAAAAGGCTGAAGAAAACGGAATATCCAAGAACTGGAGGATAACTGCAAAAGGTATAACATACGTATAATGCGTATGTATGAAGAAAGAAACAATATAGAAATATTTGAAACAATAACAATGGAACATTTCTCCAAATAGATGTCAGACACCAAACTACAGAACTAGGAAACTCAGATAATACCAAGTAGGATAAATGCTCCAAAAGTCACACTTAGGCACATCATATTTAAGGTAAAAGTCTTTAAAGAAATTAGAAGGAAAAATAACACCTTACCTATTGAGGAGCAAGATAAAAAGTACATCCAACTTCTCAGAAACCATGCAAGCAAGAGAAAGGAGTATAATGTTTAAGAGATAAAGGAGTATAATGTCGTTGAGAGAGGGGTCGCTGGGTGGCTTAGTCAGTTATGCATCTGACTTTAGCTCAGGTCATGATCTCATGGTTCATGGGTTCAAGCCCTGTGTTGTTGGGCTCTTGTACAGACAGCTTAGAGCCTGGAGCCTGCTTTGAATTCTGTGTCTCCCTCCCTCTCTGACCCTTCCCTGCTTGCACTCTGGCTCTCTCTGGCTCTCTCAAAAATAAATAATTTTTTAAAATGTTGAGAGAAAAACTACCAACTTAGAATTCTGTACCCTGCAAAGAATTTTAGGTGAAGGAAAAATACAGACTTTCTCAGACAAATAAAAATTGAGAGAATTTTGTAGCTAGTAGATCTGTCTTACAAGCAGTGTTGAAAGATGTTCTTCAGAAAAAAGGAACTTGATATAAATCAGAAATTTGGATCTACATAAAGATTAGGAAGAGCATTTGGGAAGGAATAAAAATAAAAGGTTTTATTTTTCTTAACTTGTCTAACAGATTGTTAGATTTGAACAGTTTATTCAAAATAATAACAGCAACAATGTATTCAATGATATATGCATGCTTATGTATAGATTAAATGGATGACAGAAATGATACAAGAGATGGAGTGAAGGAAGAATTAGGAATATTTGGTTATTGCAAGGTCTTGCACCACCCATGAAGCAGTATAGTGTTATTTGAAAATAGACATGGGTTCATTGTAAATGTATAGTGCAAAGTCTAGGGCAGGAACTTTAAAAAGTAATGAAAAAAGTATAGATGAAGAATGGAGAGAAAATGGAATTATAAAATCTCAAAACTAAAAGTGCAGAAAAAGTATGAAAGACAAAAGAACAAGGGCAATAAATAGAAAACAGTAACAAATATGGTAGATATTAGTCCAACTATATCAAAAATCACCTTAACGTTAATGATCTAAATATGCCAGTTAAAAGACAGAGATTATAAGAGTGGATCCAAACACAAGACCCAAATATATCTTGTCTATTAGAAACTGACTTTAAATATAAAGATATGTAGGTTTAAAGTAAACGGATGATGAAAAAATACCATGATAACACTAATCAAAAGAAAGGAATAGTTATATTAATTTAAGACAGAGTACAGTTTAAAGCAGGGAAGGTTATCAGGCATAAAGGGGGTATTTAATAATGATAAAGGGGTCAATGTGCCAAGATGACAAAATAATCCTTACTGTTTTGCCTAACAACAGAGCATCAAACTACATGATGCAAAAACTGATAGAACTGCAAGGAGAAACAGGTGAATCCTCTGTTGTAGTTGGGAGACTTTAACATTCCTCTATCAGAATTGGACATATACAGGGGCGCCTGGGTGGCTTAGTTGGTTAAGCGTCCGACTTTCGCTTAGGTCATGATCTCGCGGTTCGTGGGTTCGAGCCCCGTGTCGGGCTCTGTGCTGACTGCCAGCTCAGAGCCTGGAGCCTGTTGCAGTCTGTGACTCCCTCTCTCTCTGACCCCCCCTGCTCACGCTGTCTCTCTCTCTCTCTCTCCTAGAAATAAATAAAAAACATAAAAAAAAAGAATAAAAAAAAGAATTGGACATATACAACAGGCAGAAAATTATTAAGGTTATAGTTGAACTCAACGGCACCATCAATCACCTGGATATAATTGACATCTCTAGACTACTTTATCCAACAATAGCAGGTTACACATACTTTTCAAGCTCACATGACTATAAGCAATAGAATCCCTGACTAAACAAAGGCCATCTATTGCTCACTTAACAAAAGTCCATAGGCAGGTGTACTCAGGGTTGTTCTAGAAACTAGACATCATCAAGGAAAGGGTTTTGTTTTTCCCTTTCTGTAATTCCTGGTGTACTGTCCTTTTATCTTGTGGCTATCACCCCCGGGCTGCCAAAGATTGCAGTAGCTCCAAGTGTCACATAACTCATCCAGACAGGAAGAGAAATCTTAGTTCTAGTCACCTCTGTTGGAAATGGAAGAAAGGGAACTGAGGAGTAGGTGGAAATATTATTTAGTTTGTTGTTGTTGTTTTTTTAAGGAGATAAACCAAAAGAAGCAATACGCTATAGGCTCTAGATCTTTGCACAAATTTTTCCTCTGCCTGTTATCTATGATCTCTTGAGACCTTCCCATATATTGTATCTAGTACCTAGGTATAGTACTTGGCTCATATTAAATAGTCCATAAATATTTTTTGAAAGGAAAGCAGGCAGAGCAAAAGCAGTGGCAGTTCAGCACAAAGGCAGCTAATTTCTCCAAAACATATTGTCTGAAATCAGGGGAGGTAAATAATGAGACACAATATAGAATGGTAAGTGCTAGGATACTGTTTAATTATAAGATGCTATGGGAGCACATAGGAGGGATTAGAGAAGACAGCTCAGAAAGAATAATTGTTTAAACTGAGATCTAAGGACTGGTAGAAATAATTAAGCCCAGAGGGAAAGAACATCTCTTGGTTTGTACTTGAATTTTCACAAAGTAAAATAAATATAATCTTTTTGCGGGGAGGAAGGCCTTGAAGAGATCATAGTGAGAGAAAAAAAAGGGAGAATGGCAAATAGTAACTGATAATATAGTGCCCATTATTACTAACTTAAGATGTCTTAAAATGCATATTTTCTATATTTCTATTTTTAGTGAAAAATAGCAAAAATCCAAGACTTCAGTTCTCCTATTTCCTATAATGTCTTAATTTTTTTCACTGTTTTCAGCACCTCTTACTCTGAATGTTTTCAGGCATCTACCAATACAAGTTAGAAACTCCTAATACACATTTTGTATGTGGTAGCATATCAAAATGGAAGTTTTGATACACCACAATGAAAAAGTTGTCAGATTAAATTCAGGTTGACTGGATAAAGTTGAATATTAATTAAATTGATTCTTAATCTTCTAACTCACACTCAGAGTATGAAGTGGTCAAGGAGAAGATTTTGAGAGCATACCTAGCCATTCTCCACTCCAAGAACGTATCGCAGCCCCCAGCATTTTGGAGGCCCAATAGAATGAGGCCTGATTCAATACTTTAAAAAAAGCTAAGGCAGTGATTGATTGGCTAGCTGTACTAATAGCAGAAGCAAAGAGCATGCTGCTGCTGCATTGGGATAAGCCTTCAACCTCAAAGTTTACTTGGACAAAGAAAGCCACTCTGTTTCCACTAGACTAGATGTGGGCCACATATATACATATGTATACCCAAGAAAGATGGCATAGGGCTGTCATGGATTCTGTCTGTGAGGGATACCTAAATATGCAAAAACATCTCAGCAGAGAGAAACTGGAGGTATCACAGACGTAAACAACCAGTTGGAATAGAAAAATATTTGACAAGATCAAGAAATCTGCAGAGAAGAGATCTCCAGTGATGGTGATCTCCAAGGAACTGATCAAAGTACCTCGTGAGTCAGCTTTAAAAATCTGCCACATCCAGGAAGCACTGATGTTAGAAAACGCAGCAGTTATAGTAAGAACTTTCCATTTACCACCTCTCTTCTCCCTTACGAGACCTCTAATCCCTACAGGGTCCATAGTATCAAACTGGGAAAGTAAGAACAGAAGTAGTAGGGTAGAAAAAAGAAGCTGTTCATATCCTTCTTCTCTGACTATAAGTTTAATAGTCTTAGCTGGAAGAGAGGGAAAGCCTAACTTTAAAATAAAATGAAAGTTTTACTTCTACATGGTTCTGGACTTTTTACTAACCAGATAGTCATATTACTGAAAAGTTACTAGAAATGTCACAGAACCATCTAGGTTTTCATCCAGAGGCAGGACAAGAACTATCCCCACTGAATAAATACAGAGATGAAAAGTCACTTTGGAAAAAAGCTTGGCAAATTCTTATAAAAGTTAAACATACTTATCTAACCCATCAATCCTACTTCTGGGTATTTATCTAAGAGAAGTAAAAACTTACATTTACCCTAAAACCTGTATATGAATTTTTATAGTAGTTTTATTTATAATAGCCCCAAAGTGGAAACAACTCAAATGTTTTTCACCTGATGAATGGATTTAAAAATGTGGTACAGCCATATAATGGAATAATACCATCAGTAAATAAAAAGGAATGTATTAATGATACATGTAATAACACGAATGAATTTCATAGGAGTTATGCTAAGTTGCTAAGTGAAAAAAGACAGATTCAGATGGTTACATACTGTATACTTCTGTTTATACAGCATCCTGGAAAAGGTAATGTCTAAATTTACACCAAACACCTACTTTTGGTAATTCCCTGGTGCCATAAGGTAAGGTAAAGTTAGGGAAACAGAAGATATATGACCAAAGGCCCAATTACCAGAGTGCTCCCAGTCCTTAACTTACTGTGATTTAATGGATCCAAGAGATTTTCTGAAGGTAGATTGAACATCTAACTGGAGTAGCATAGGAATATCTGGGTACCCACCCAGCTGGGCCCAGAGTGAGTGTATTGATGTCTTCTCTGTTATTGGGTAGCTTGAAGTAGACAGATCAGCATTCCAGATGGCTTGCATTTGGTCTTCTTGCCTAAAGAACCAGAGAGCACTAATTGGAAGTGCCAAACTCTCCTGAGCTCCATATCCAATCAAAATGTATGATTCTTATTCTCCCCTTTTCTCTTCACCACCACCTTGTCCTATGATGCCCTCTCTGGCACTAAAAAACATTAACTATGCTCACTTTGACTGAGAGATAAATTAAAACAGCAGAATTTGCTAAAATAGCTTTTTTTCTTCCCCAAAAGCTGCACTTCCATTTCCATGACTTCGCCTAGTAATGTTTTAAAACTACCTTCTTAGCTTCATGGAATATGTAGACCATATCCAGACTATTTTTTTCCCCATTAACATTTTTCTCTCTTTCTTCCCAAAACTCTTACCTTCTCTCTGAAAAAAAAAAAGGAAAAAAGTAACCCTTCTAAGTTTCTTTATTCTGTATTAAAAGAATTTGTTTCATAATAAAGAAGAATCAGCTTCATTTTTTAGCAAGACTGGCTTTATTTATTTAATTTAATTTAATATTAATTTAAAGTTGAACTAAATTATTCAGTGAGCAAAAATAAAACAATTCACATTCAAGTAGAATATCACAAATTAGCAAATATTCCACAAATCTATAAATGTATGTCCTCATATGATTAATGAAATTAATCTTTCATCTGGAAAAATCTTGACACTAGTTATAATTCAGTTAGATATAAGTTCAAAAGTATGGGAAAAGAATTCTAACACTTTATTCAAAAAGTTCTGCCTCATCCAACTATTTAGTTAAAGTCTTTAGCATTCACAATTAATGACATGGAAAAAATTAAACACCTAGTTGAGCCTTTGGAGTAAGCCCATACATGTGAGATGAGGCCCCCAAGACCCATTATAAGGAAGGGGTTCCATCAGTCTATTTACCTCCAGGACCATAACTGTCATGTCACCTGTAGGGGCAAGACAGCCCCAGTCTTGAAATTGTTATAAAGGGGAACCACTAAAAGGAAAACTGGACTTACTTCATTCCTGGAAAAGAGCAGGCATGGAGCAAGCCAGGATCAATTTTTAAAAAGGAACTTAAAATTAAATGTTAAATATTTATGTAGAAATATATGTAAATAAGCCTCTTGTTAAATTAGGTAAGAAAATTAATACTACCTTAGATTCTCCACTGCACCATATCGTAATTGTGAGGAAGGGGAAGCTCTTGGGCAGGAAAAAAAAAAAAAAAGAATAGGTTCCACATATCATCCAAAACAGGTTTAACGTCAGTCTTTCCTACCACATACCGAGATTTCTTGAACGTGTCAGACTTTCTGTCTTCTATTAGCAGCTCTAGGAATGGTTGTTGAACAGATTTGGTAGAGGTGGGTATCTGCTTTTTGTTGATAATGAGAGGGATAGGTTGACTAAGATTCAATTTATACGTCTGTTGAAGCTGAAAATAAATAAATCAGAAAAGGAAACCATGGGAAAAAAAGGGTCAGAGCCTTTAGGAAGACCTGAGCTGGCCCTAGCTAAACTGTGACTCTTCCTTTTGCACTTACAAATCCATTTCCTCCATCCTCTTTCACCCTTCCTCCTACACCTTCACCTCCAACACAAAATTTCAGAGGTGGCACCTATGTTATATAAAAACCTGTATAAGCTGTACAATTTCCTGGCTTTGTGACTTGGGTTAGTTGCTAATTTTATCTACACCTCTTCTTATTTCCAAAACAGAGATAATAACACAGGGTTTTTGTGAGTGTTGTGTAAGATAATATATATGGAAGCACCTCATAAATCGTAAAGCACTATGCAAATCTAATGATAACACCTATTGAATACTTACTGAGTATCACATGCTTTTTCTATATTAACTCATTTGGTATTTACAACAACTTTATGAGGTGGTGGGTACTATTGTTGTCTTTGTCTTACATATAGAGACCTGAAGTTCAGAAAATTCACATCTTGCCAAAAGTCTCTTAGCTAATATGTGGTGAAGCTGATTTGAACTCACACAATCTGGTAGCAGAACAAAACTCTGGACCATTGTAAGGTATTTATTCATTTGTAACCTCTTCTCCCTTTTGCTTTTTCCTCTCCGTTCTTATGCGTTAATAATCACCTCATCATCTAGATTCTGCATTCCCTAATCACAGACCCTTATTCATTCTCTGAAGTGCTCTATATATTGTGATTCCTATTAGACAGTTCTTGACACTGCCAACTCATTTTGCTTTATTTCATCTACATTGGCCATATTTTTTTAAACCAAAAAGTGTCAAAAATAGCCCTTTTTTGGCCAAAGAGCTTTAATATTTAAGATATAGCTGTCCTGGAAAATTATGTCTAATTTGGATCAAGCTATGATGAGAATTCTATACCTTTTAAAGTAGCAAGTAATTTGGGTTGCCTGGGTAGCTCAGTCGGTTAAGCATCCAACTTCAGCTCAGGTCATTATTTCATGGCTTGTGGGTTCAAGCTCTGTGTCAGGCTTTGTGCTGACAGCTCATAGCCTGGAGCCTGTTTCAGATTCTGTGTCTCCCTCTCTCTCTGACCCTCCCCCACTCATGTACTGTCTCTCTCTGTCTCAAAAAATAAATAAACTATAAAAAAATTTTAAAAAATAGATATAAGATAGCCCTAGAACTCCAAGAATGTTCCAGAGCTCCATGTTGGAGCATGTAATCCCAGAACAAATCATTCTAATCTCAGCTCTATCACTTTCTGGAAGGCCACTGTCACTCCCAAAAGCATACTAATGGTTATCTCAGAGGGGCTCTGGGACATAATGAGTGTTGTTCAGAGTTTAACAGGATCAGATTCTGTGCATGGTGCTATAAATTAATTTGGGGAGTCAGAGAGAGGGAGAAACAAATAAAAGAATATTGAAAATTGATCCTGAAAACCTGCCAGACAAAAGCAGGAAGGTGGCTTTAAAAAGGAAAATGAGAGGGGCGCCTGGGTGGCTTAGTCGGTTAAGCGTCCGACTTTCGCTTAGGTCATGATCTCGCGGTTCGTGGGTTCGGGCCCCGCGTCAGGCTCTGTGCTGACTGCCAGCTCAGAGCCTGGAGCCTGTTTCAGTCTGTGACTCCCTCTCTCTCTGACCCTCCCCTGCTCACGCTGTCTCTCTCTCTCCTAGAAATAAATAAAACATTAAAAAAAAATTAAAAAAAAAAAAAGGAAAATGAGAGACCCCTCTTCTGAGACACTTCTGGTTAAAAAATGGAACTGCAAAGCATTAAAAAAAAATTTGTGTCCTCTGTTATTGCTAATAATAATGCATAAATATTATTGAGTACTCCAGACGTATAGGCACTTAGATTATATAGTTTTAATATTATTAATGTATTATCTAACTTCACAATCTTTTGAAACAAATGTTCCTGCCAATTGAGAGATCAGATAATTGAGGCTTAGGAGAGTTCAAGTTACTTGCCTAGAGCCACCCAGCTAGTAAGTGGTCAAAATGGGAGTCAAGGTCAGCCTAACTTCTAAATCCCTTCTTTTTATTTTTAAATATTTATTTCTGAGAGAGAGAGAAACAGAGAGAGAGAGAGGCAGTGTGAGCAGGGGAGGGTCAGAGAGAGAGGGAGACAAAGAATCTGAAGCTATGTAAGCCAGTTAAATAAACTCTTATCTCCTTTATTGTAAACTCATGCTATTAAAATTTGCTTTCTGATAGTTTTGAGGAGAAAAGTAACTAACCATCATGAATCTGTTGGAGAGTGGTAACTTTAAGAGTTTTATATCGGGGTACCTGGGTGGCTCAGTCGGTTAAGCGTCTGACTTTGGCTCAGGTCATGATCTCACAGTTTGTTGAGTTCAAGCCCTGCATCGGGCTCTGTGCTGACAGCTCAGAGCTTGGAGCCTGTTTCAGATTCTGTGTCTCCCTCTCTCTCTGCCCCTCCCCCACTCATACTCTGTTTCTCTCTGTCTCAAAAATAAATAAACTATAAAAAATTTTAAAAATAAATAAATAAAAGAGTTTTATATCTAGAGGCTGGTAGATGTGGGTTGACTAGGAAGGAGTTGAGCATTTCTAGAAGTCATTCCAATTCTAATCTTTTCCCATCTAGGGAGTCCAGTCAGCATCCCTGTCATCAATTTAAGAGTTTTCACTGAGGTCATGGTGTACTGGCTTGAATTGTAAACCCCTCAAAAGATATGTTCACCCAGAATCTGTGAAAGTGACCTTATTTGGAAAAAGGGTCTTTACAGATGTAATTAAGGACCTCAAGATGAGATCATTGTGGACTAACCAGGTGGTCCTATATCCAATGACACATGTATTATAAGAGACAGAATAGAAGATATTAGACACATTGGGAAGAAGGCCATGGGAAGGCAGAGGCAGAGATTGGATGTATGCAGCTACAAGCCAAGGAATGCCAAGGGTTGTTGACAGCTACCAGAGTCTAGGAGAGAGGCACAGAACAAATTTCTCCTTCAGAGGCCTCAGAAGGAGCCAGTCCTGCCAACATCTTGATTCCACAAACTCACCTCCAGAAAGGAGACAATATATCTCTATTGTCTTAAGCCATCAAGTTTGTGGTAATTTGTTACAGCCCCTAGAAAACTAGTATACATAATATCTCCAGGTAAGTGTTATTTTCAAAGCTTACCACTTTCATTTTTCTTACAACACACTGGGGAGAGGGAATAGAAAACAAGTTACCTGGCTAAATAAGAATATCATTTTCCTCAGGCACTGATTCCGTTTCTTCTCTAAAGACTTCTGCTTGTTGGTCCAGACCTGCATCACCTTTTTCTGGTACTCATCAATTCTGCTCAGCATTATGTAGAGGTTCCGGGTTTCATAACCTTTCCCAGTGTTTTGGATCGCTTGTAATCGCCTGATTAGGTTGTTTCTTGAAAAAAAAAAATGAACAAGAGTGAGATTGATATACCTACTGATCCTAATTTAGCAAACCTAGTTACTTTCAGTTCTCATCCACAGTAAGTAGAGAGGAATGGGAGAGGGGTGGGAGGCTTGCTTAATGAGACCTTAATCTAGTTCCTTATATGACTAAACTTTCAAAGCTCTCTATGGTGGTCCAGTTTTCATTAACACTGGAGTTTTTTAGTGTTACAGTAGTGTTGCTTATTATTTTAATACATTAAAATTTTAGTATTGATATGTATAAGATGTATAGAAGGTACTCAACACAACTATGAGAAAGACAGTGTCCTTGCCTTCAAAGCATTTACAAGCCAGAATAGGAGACTAATAAATTAACTGTGTTAAATAGAATGAAATGAAGGCTAAATAGAAATATAAGAATGCTGGGGTGCTTGGATGGCTCACTTAGTTGAGTTTCTAAGTCTTGGTTCTAGCTCAGGTCATGATCTCAGGGAACTGGGATCGAGCCCTGCATCAGGCTCCACTTGTGGAGCCTGCTTAAGATTCTCCCTCTGCCCCTCTCCCCCATTTGCTGGTCTCTAAAATTATATTTATTGGGGCACCTGGGTGGCTCAGTCGGTTAAGCATCCGACTTTGGCTCAGGTCATGATCTTGGGGTTTGTGGGTTTGAGCCCTGGGTCGGGCTCTGTGCTGACAGCTCAGAGCCTGGAGCCTGCCTCTGGTTCTGTGTCTCCCTTTCTCTCTGACCCTCCCCTGCTCACATTGTCTGTCTCTCTCTCAAAAAAATAAAACATTTAAAAAAATAAATCAAGGCTCAAGAGAAGTTAAAAAATAAATAAAATAATATTTGTTTGTTAATATATAAACTTGCTATTTGAGCAAAAAAGAAAGCATATTTCGTATTAACAAGAAGAATAAAAAAGGTCTCATAGAAAGTTGTTGCATAGGATCTTGAGGAACAGTCATAAAATGTACTCTCTTGGGGCACCTGGGTGGTTCAGTCGGTTAAGCGTCCAACTTTGGCTCAGGTCATGATCTCAAGGTATGTGGGTCCGAGCCCCACGACAAGCTCTGTGCTAATACCTCAGAGCCTGGAGCCTGTCTTCTGATTCTGTATCTCCCTGTCTCTCTGACCCTTCCCTGCTTACGCTGTCTCTCTCTCTATCAGAAAACAAACAAACAAACAAACAAACATTAAAAAAAAATGTACTCTCCCATGGAATACTACATGACAATGAGAAACAATGAAATCTGGCCATGTGTAGCAACATGGATGGACCTTGAGGGTGTTATGCTGAGCGAAATAAGTCAGGCAGAGAAGGACAAATATCATATGTTTGCACTTATAGGAGGATTAGGAGGAACTTGACGGAGGAACAAGGGGGAGAAGAAGGGCGGAAATGGTGGGGGAAAGGGAGAGAGGCAAACCATGAGAGACTCTTGAATGCTGACAAAAACTGAGGACTGATGGATGTGGGGGGGAGGGGGGGATGGGCATGGAGGAGGACACTTGTGGGGATGAGCACTAGGTGTTATGTGGAAACTAATTTGACAATAAACTATTTGTAAAAAAAAAAAATGTACTCTCTCTCTTTAGTGTATACCACTATGTTTGTGCCTCTTAAACAGACAGTGTTTTGCCATCTCTGTTCTGCAGGAGAGGAAAAAGAATCTGAGCAAAGGTAAGTAACTTTCTATTAAAAAGATTTTTTTAATGTTTTATTTATTTCTGAGAGAGAGAGAGAGAGGGAGAGAGAGAGAGGGAGAGAGAGAGAGACAGCGTGAGCAGGGGAGGGTCAGAGAGAGAGGGAGACACAGAATCTGAAACAGGCCCCGGGCTCTGAACTGGCTGTCAGCACAGAGCCCAATGCAGAGCTTGAACCCACAAACCATGAGATCATGACCTGAGCTGAAGTTGGACACTTAACCAATTGAGCCACCCAGGCAAATAATTTTCTAAAGTTAAAAGCAGATTTGGGAGGCAAACCCAGATCTTTTCTCTTTCCACAATACCAATATTTCTCAAAATGTGTACCCTGATCACCTGGACTGAATCATCTGGGCAGGGGTGATGGGGTGGTGGTGGTGCTTATTGAAACTGCAGGTTTCAGAGTGCTTTCCTAAACCTTTTGAATCAAAATCTTGTAGGCTTCAGGACCAGTATTTTACACAAATTGTCAGGTAAATCTTTCTGTCACTAAAGTTTAGGGAAAGAGGAGGAGGAATTGAGGGAATATCATATAAACAAAGGCAGGAAAATGAGCTATCTATAATGAGCTATCTATTGGGAGTGGTGAGTAGACTGAGACACTGACCACAGAACTGTTAAAGAATACAGTGGAGGACAATACTGGAATGTATGGCTTCTGAAAGATCATAAAAGGCACGTTAAGAAGTTTGGATTTTGGTGTGGGGAGGGTAGGCAATGATAACCCATTGCAGATATTCTTCTGAATGTATGTATTTTACATACACAGAATAACTCTTAGGTCTCTGGTGGGCTATAATTAGTAATTTAGAACCTACTGTATATATGGATTATTTAATACTTAACTGTTAACTCTGAATTAATTTAGTTAATTTTAATTATTTTTCCAATGACCTTACTTTTTTCATATCCCGTGATTTTTTCGCTCTTAACCACTGAGCCACCCAGGTGGCCCATTATGATTTTTTCACTCTTATAACCATCCTTATTACATGTGTTTTTAATCACTTCTCTACATACATTATAGAATCCCTATCATATCCATTCCCACAAATAACATTGTTCTCAGTGAAGTAAGTGGATAGCATTCATTAACCATCATATGTTGTGCATATAAGAGATGCAAATGACATAACATTGTGTAAGTTTGATGTGCACATTGTGTTGATTTGATACATTTATATTGCCATATGATTACCATTGTAACCTTAGCTAAAACCTCTATCATGTCCCATAAGTATCTTTTATCGTGTATGTGGGGAGAGCAGTTAAGATTTGGTTTTTGAGCAACTTTGAAGTTTATATTACAGTATTGTGGCCTATATTCACTAAGCTATGCATTATTATCTAATAAGCCTTGGTTTCCACACCAAATCTTTCCTACCATTTTTCTGTCTATTCACACAGATTTTAGATTTTCTCCATAATTCTTCCTTATTGAAATCACATTTAAATTTCAGGTTTAATAATAATAATTTAATAATGAATTCTTGGAAACTTTAAAAGGTTCATAGTTTCATTTCAAGCTTAGAGAAATTATTGTTCATTGATTTAAAATTTTTTTTTCATGTTTATTTATTTTTGAGAGAAAGAGATACAGAGTGTGACTCAGGGAGGAGCAGAAAGAGGGACACACAGAATCTGAAGCAGGCTCCAGGCTTTGAGCTGTCAGCACAGAGCCGACACGGGGCTCGAACTCATAAACCACGAGATCATGACCTGGGCTGAAGTAGGATGCTTAACTGGCTGACTGCTGAAGTATCTCCTTATTTAAAATGCCCTATCTAGAATCATGGCCATTCAAAACTTCTTACCTTTTGTTCCCTTTCTCTTAGAAAATTCCACTTATATTGACAAAATCTCGCCCCCATCCTAAGGAATATTTTTTACAGTATTTGATATAGAATCACAACCAAGGGAAGGTGCTTTACATTTACTGAGCACCCACTATGTGTTGATCATTGTATTAGAAGTTGTATTTATGTTTTTAAATTTACATTGAAATGTTTTGTTATTTTAAAATACATTATTTCATTTAATCTTTGCACCCATTCTTCAAGGTAAATATTATCATATCCATTTTACAAACAAAACCTCAGAGAGGTTCAGAACTGGAAATTTGAGCCAAGGTGTTCCTGACGTCAAAGTCTATGTTTAAGAGAAAGCATGATTAAAATTTGGATATAAAATTATAAATATAAAAAATATTTTCCTTCTTCAAGGCAGGTTACTATACTATACTATAGGTTACTATACATACTATATAGTATAGTATAGTACTTTAGACTATGGGACTTTGGAAATGGGTTTTTGAATTCAGCTCCACTACTTACTAGCTGTAACATGGGCAAATAGGATGGACTTTATGAATGACTCCTTATCTACAAGTTAAATGCAGTAATGTATCTGAAGTTTCTCTTCTTTCTAGATACTTTGTAATGCCTTGTGTATGTATGTAATTAGCTTTAAATCATTTATTTTCATTTAGTTTTCACTGTCCATGTAATGTTTCCTCAAAAAATTCTAGATTAAACAAGTTTGATTTCCCTACAAAATATATATTTCCTTTAGTCTATCAGCTTTTGCTTCTTCAAGAGTGCAGTAATTCTCCTTTTATTACATATTCCACCAGATTGCCTGGCATGGATGGAGTTAGTGTTAAAATATCACCCTCGCATAGAATCCCTCCCAGACAACAGGAAATACTTTACACTAGTTGGTTATTTGATTATATACCCTTATATTCCTTCAAAACTTTTGGGTGGATGCTGTCTGGCCCTAATTTATGCCTCTGCATGAAGTTTTATTCACCTTAAATTCACCTTCCATATTATTCACATTTTACTTCCCTTGTTAGGAATAGTTCAATGATCCTCTATCACATACAAAATAAAATATAAGTTCTTTAGCATGCCATTTAGGATTCTTTTTGACCTAGTTTATCTTTACAATCTCCTCTCTTGCCATATCCTGCTTATTCTTTGTTTTCTACCAGCAGCAAAGTAGTTTACACACACACACACACACACACACACACACACACGTACACATACTGCTTTTACTTGCTTCCTTTCTGTGCTCTGCTAGACTCTCTGCCTTCAAAGGTCTGGACGTCTAGCAGTTTTACCTAACTCTCTCCCCTGTCTTTAGTCCTCTTCTGTATACTTTGTGCATGTACCATCGTTGTTCTTTCCCCATATAATCACCAGTTTGTGTGGGTATCTCTCTGAGTAGACTTTGAATGTCCTCAAGGCAGGGATACAGCTTATCCACCTTTGTATCCTGCCACCCTCGGTCCC